AAACCACCATTATCTTCACACTCTTTCCATTAAACTATCAAGTCTTAGTTATTTATTTATTTATTACCAAATTTAATTTATGAACTTATTTTAATATATAACCTCTTCATACGGTACTCCGAATCAAAATTCAAAAATTTGATAGTCTACGTTCCGGATTCCTCCGTTCAAAATATGCGGAAATATGGGAACACGAGGTGAAGCAATCACGTGATCACGCGGTGTGATTCCTTCGTTTTTTCTTCGCGGTAGGCCCCCATGATTTCAAATGATTTCAACTGATTTCGAATTTTTCATTTCACCTATCTGCGGAATTGCCTCAGGGTGATAAAATCCGACCTTGTGATGTGACGAATCATTCGACTATTTGTTGCTTCAGTTGCCAGGGTTCATTTGAGGGAATGCCGTTCGTCCAATAAATTATCTCTAAATTTCAAATTGTCCCAGTTCTCCAGTTTTACCAGCTTGTCCAAATTATTACCAGATTTACCAAATTTCTACCAGATTTCTCAAATACTAGAGTTTCACGAATTTTGAATCGAGTGCTCAGTTTTCAGTCAATTTCGCGATAAAGTGTCAGCCCCCCAGAGACCAGAAGAGTTTGACTACCAAAATTTGGACCGAACGATAACGCTATTCGACCCACACTAAACACAACGATTCCCCAGAATAATTCCACGAGATATTCTCGAGAATTATTTTACCCGACAGTTGAATGAATCTAAAATTCTATTTAAACATGAAAACGAATTTCTCAGTTTATGCCGATTCATGTAGCCTTGAGCTCATCATAGAGATTATAGTTATCATCACAACTTTTATTAATAAACAAATTGCCAATACATTAATTCAAAAATTACATAGAAACCAAATAATATTACCATAGTACATAAAATCTTTCCCTTTTTGTTCAAATTGAAATTATTCTCATCCATTTCAATACTACTAAACCAAATTGATTAATTAAATGAACCAATTCACACAACAATTGTATATGCTAAAATTCTAACCTTTATTCGCGCCAATCGTTCAGTCCGTGAATCGCACTCCTCTGAATCGTCCGTCGGTAAAACGAGTTCACGACCGTCGGTACAACAGAATATCCCCCGAAATTCTCAAATTCAAGATGGCTGAGTCGGCGAACGAGTGACATCGCTCCCCTCCTCAGTACTTCGCAAATAATTACCACCCCAACAGAATATTTCCCCCTCGCGAACGTTCCTCCCCGCGTGGCTCTACCACGACAGTTTCATCCGTCGCTGTCAAGGGCTCGACCACAGCTTGCTTTTAGTCAAAGACTAATTAAGCTGGCTGCTGACGAAAATTAACTAATATGGCTCGACCACAGCACACAAGTAGCAAATGCTAATTTAGTAGCTGCTGACAATTTGGCTCTACCACAGCTCGCGATAGTCAGAGACTAGTGTCGCTGGCTACTGTCAATGGCTCGACCACAGCTCGCTAGTAACTACAGTTAATATAACTGGCTGCTGACAATTGGTTACTTTTCTTTCCTCCGGCGAGGATCGTAGGCGAACCCGGGTGAGGCCTTCCCGATCGCCCCATCACACCTGCGTATCGAACTACCCTGCTGACGGAAGTTTAACACCTTTAGGCTACTATTTGACTCGCGGAAAGAATGCGCGATCTAGGTCTGTCGCGGAACTATATTTATTAGAAATATTCCCCGGGAACCAACAGCCCACTCAATCACCTTTACTACATATTCTCAATTCACATTTTCCAAAATCCATATAATCCTCATTAAATTCACAAAATAAAAAAGCTTCCATAATTCACAAAATTTCTAAATTATAAAAACATAAAATCATGAATTTCTCGATTGTGAGAATCCTCACAGTGAATGGCGAACAAGTTGCAACGGGGAACTCATTTTACCAGGGGGCAATGAAAGGGATCGAACGAGAGTGATACGTAGAAAAATTGAGTCATAAGGCCCTGACGGTTGGACAGGAACATTAAGTGTAGGAATTAACTTTCTGTAAAAAATTTGAAATTTTTCCATGCCTTTGGGGAAGATCAAAGATTGCGCCAAAATGTGAGTATTGGTCACAAATTCAAAAACTACGGGTGATGATTTTCTTCTCCGAAGCTTACGGACGTGCCATGGCCATGCCCATCGATAAACTTTAAATTTTTCAAGAAAACAAATATATTAATGGGTAAGAAGAAAATTTTTGGAGTAATTTCAGTGTTCACACTCTTTACAGTTGTTTTTTTCTTATGAGAAAAAATTTATTTGAAAAAATCAGATAAGGATCCAATTTTCTTTTCCCGAATTTTTTTTTCTGAACTACAGTACTGAACACGTGTAACGGCGAGTTGTGAGAGTCGCGACAGATATCGATTTGTTTTGAGAATCCTGGAGTTTGACAGAGTTTACTGAGAAAAGAAACATTTTTTTCAGAAGTACGTCTTTACTTATATCTTATAAGAAACTCGTGACTTGAAAATTTCCAAGAGCAGAATGTCTTACACTAAGAAAAAAACAACTTTCATCGAGAAGTCTTGTACTTGTCCTGAAGACGAGGACAATTTTCTTGATGACGAGGAAGCGATTTCTCAAAGCCAGTCAAGTTGAATTAATTCATTTAATAGTTTTTTAGCCTCAATTCTAAAATATTTTAATGCAAAAACCACTTGAATTGACTTGAGAGCTCGTTTTCTTATTATGAAACAATTGCCCTCCTCTTTCGGACAAGTTTAAAATTTCTTGGTGTAAGATTTTTTTTCTTAGTGAGATATTGTACGCCTGGAAATTTTCGAGCCATGAGTTTCTTGATATAAGCAAAGACGTACTTCTAAAAAAACTTATTTTCTCAGTGTTGTGATTCGTTTTTCTTTCATACTGTCGCGGAGAGAAGACCTCTGTCGGTAAACCATATTCATCAAAAGACGTGATGAGGCGATAATAAATTTTTTTTTGTTTACTGTTTCAAAATAAAATTTAACTCACTAATTTGGTGATTGCAAATGATTTCATGTGATTTCATTCCAGAGTTACAGAGTGATTTCACCAGTAAATAACCTCTCGTATTTTCCATTAAAAGTACTGTTTAAAATATCATTCCATTTTCATTCGCCAAATATTACTTTCGTTCGTTATTTTCCCCTCATGTCAAAGAAATATGTGATTTTTTTTTTTTAATTCTATTAATTGTTTTCATGTTAAATAGATTTATGAGAAAATAAATAATTGACAAATAATATTGATATTTCAATATTCTGTCCTCGTATTCCCCTAGTATTTACATTCCTCTATGCGCACAAAATGTTATGCACAAAATATTATGGCAATATGTGTAGGTTACAACTAAAGTTAGTACTGATTATTAATAATAATTCATGAGTCCTCAAAGTCATCGTTATATGAATGTCCCCATAGTATCTCCAATAAATTATACATGTCTCCATAGTAGTCGGTTTATATAATCTCTTGGTATGAAGAATAATAAATTATGCCATAGTGTAAATGTTGGTATAGGAAAATTGAACAGTACAAAAGAGGGACACTGGAGAAGAATAATCTTAGAAATAACAAATAACTTACAATTCAAATAAATGAAAATAACGATAAAAATAACGCAAGTCGATGGAGAAAAAAATATAGGAAATTTTCCAAGAAGAACTTTCAGGGGAATTTATCATAGAACCATTGCGGCAGATCCATTCGGAAGTTAATTACCAATGAAATTGGTAGAGAGAGAAAGAATAAAAAAGACTAAGAACGATTAAAATAACAGTGTGTCGCTTTTGTCGAATAGGCTCGCAACCCTGCTTGTTTACTTGTAGTTTACAATGAGAAAATAAAAATAATACTAAAAATTTTTAGGCAATATTTTAGGTCAGTATTTTTTTAAATTGCTTATATAGACATTTTTTAAAAGCATAATTTCCTCATGTTTCGTGACAATTCTAGGCATTTCCACCCAAAATTAGGAAATTGAAAAAAATCTCAATTAGATAGCTTCCATTTGGAAGCAAAAAATTAGTCAAAAATTCAGAAATTGGGAAAAGTGACTTTTTATATGTAATATCATCAAAAAAAAAAATAGAAAAGTGATGTTTAGGTCTTTTTAATGTCATGAAAATCCTATGAGAAGACTCGATAAGATTAAAATCTTCAAAGTAGGGGCGGGTGGGGTAAAACGGACACTGTAGACTTTTTTAAAATTATTCATAACTCAGAAACAAATTGATCAATTGAGCTCAGTTTAGGCTCGTCACAAAGGGAAAGAATTGTTCTTTGTATTGGAAAAAAAATTATTGAATTTTATCAACATTTCAACCCCTCATTGACATTTTTAAAAAAAGTTTTACCCCCACCTCCCTTACAAATCGGCAAAATCATCCAATTATTGTCATTCAAAAACTTTTACCAATTCATTTGGGAAGAATGACGCTCAATATTCGTTTTTAGTGAATACCTTATATTACTGTCTTATTCATTTATAAATATTTTCATCACGCTGTGACGAAAAGTGAACTTTTCGGCACGCTCCGCGTGCCTAAAAGTCCAATTTCCGCCACATTGTGATGAAAAATATTGTTCGTAACTCGTGAAAAAATGTTTTTTAGCTCGTTACGAAATATACTATTTCTGGCAGATCTCATTTCAATCTGTAAAAAATTCTACTCCATTCAACTCGATATAATTTTTAAAAAAAATCCCAGCAAAAAAACAAGCTCATTTCGCACTACATGTAGTGGACAATGAATTAGAAGTCGCTTACATACATTGCCAACGAAGCACAACTGCTGTAATTGTTCATATCCCTTACACCGATAGCTTAAAAACAGAGTAAGGCAACCACCAAACATCGACAATCGTTGGAAAAGAAGTGCATGCCTATTTATTCTTCAATATTACACCAAGTTTGTGATTGCGTTATTCTGTCATTGAGGTATCGATGTGTTTTTCGCCATTAGTCTGACAACATATTCAATACAAATGTTCTTAAGTGTCATGAAAATCTCACCAATAAGTTTCTGAAGAATTTGCAATCCAGTCTCAATAATAATGATACTCTCCGATGAAAAACCAACAAACTCTGCAGATTCATCTTCATTAATACCATCCGGCTCCAAGAGTTTTCTCTTAACTCCCTTAGCCTTAGGCTTGGCGTCAGCTTCCACACTACTAGTCGAATTTGACTTTGATTGACGCATTCTTCTTTTCCCCGCTGACTCCAACTTCTTCCCAACACTCTTATCCTCACCATTTACCTCATCCTCGTCCATTTTCTTTGCACTTTGTAATTTATCTGAGTTAAGAGTTTGCTCTGCCATTAACTTAGATTCCACAATTGCTTGCAGGTTAGATTCCGTGCGCGCCACCTCGGCGTTCCCGCCATTCGTATCACTGACTTGTATATCCATAAGATTCTGTTTTTTACAAAAAAAATATATATATATATATATATATATATATATATATATATATATATGTATATATATATATATACATATATATATATACTTATGTTCAAGTAATCGAGTCATCTATAAAATTGAAATTTAATAAAAATTGCATCACTGATTCAAAACTCATGCATATAATTGTGGACTAATAATCAACTAATTATAATTATAAAGTGATATTCTATGTCGAATCAATAAAAAATGCTTGGACTTCGAAAGCTATAGTCATCATGATTGGGCAGCCCATTAGTTCAATGATTTTTTTAACATTAGTATTTTCTTTCACATAAATTTTCAGGTTCTTCCCATTTAATTCATATGGAAAATCTATTCGTATTATGGATGTATTCTATTTTGCCAAAGATATGCGAAATTGTTTATTGAATACGATCTCTTATCGGCCTCAGGTTGTGTCGTGATACTGCGAACTTATTTCTCCAATAAAAATTTGCCAACTTCCACTCACAAGAAACTACCCTATTGTTTTATCCATGGAGAATAGGAGCAAGAACCAAGTTGGGACAATGGGCATGGATGCACTAGGACCATGAAGAATAGAGACCAGGAGGCCGAACTAGCGTTGTCAGATTCGAGCCCATACTCGGGTCGCGGAGTAGTTAGAGGTGGTGTTTCGATCGGTTTTCTTGACAGCAGAAGTGGGGGAATGGTACTTGGGTGAGTCTATAGGTGTACAGTCGTCAAATTAAGTTCTGGAAGTAACTAGACGTTGGTTGGCAATGTTGGATTGCACGGAGTATAGGACCGAAACGAACGAGCGGTTCGTACCTCGATGGTTTTAGTTCGTGCTCCAGTGATTGGGTAGAATGGGAGAATTTGGACGGATTTTCAATGCCGGCAACGGCAACTCAAACCTCCACAATAACAAAAACAAAGTAAATATCCGGAGCACAGTGGGTTTAGGAAAAAAATTGCATAATTTAGAAAAATATATGTATTTAATTATCACTGACGGTGCTGACGAGTTGGCAAGTATTGGAGTATTTTGTATTTTCTTCGTCTCGGTAAATATTCAATCATTTTGAGAATGAGTTATTCTGGAGAGGGAAATTCTCAAAAGACAGATTGCCATAGATTTTCTCAACTATACAGAAGTCTCTTAACATAAACTCCGAAAATTACGCATTCCATAATCTATTGACAATATCATTGGTGAATGAAAACTTTTCTCAATTTTTTTATTGATGCAATATGAAAATAAAAGAATAATAATATTTGAAACTTTTGATTCAGACAGACTATCAAAAACAACTTCTATTTGCTATTCATGAAATTTTCTGAACGATTTTTTTTTTTGTTAAAGGGTTTGTTTATTTTATTTGAATGTAAAGTAACTGATAAAGTTTTTTTTTAGCAGAATTCTTAAAATATCCATTCTTGTCAATTTACATTGCACATATGGGGGCGAAACATCGAGAAGAAACTGACAATTTCGATCAGATGCTCTATAGTGAATTGAATCAACAAACAAACTAAATAATCAGAAGCCATTGGATGCGAGAAAGAATTGAATAATTCACCTGAATATATTTAAGATATTCACCTTCATGGTGCTTATAGCTAAGAGAAATCAAGGTATTCGTCTTGGCAAGTCTTCAATTAGTTTAGTAACGAATGATTTTAAAGGGGAAAGTGAAAAGAGAAAGATTTCTTATGAATATTTTATCAACTACATAAGAGGTTTTTTCACATCAATTCCTAAAATCATTTCAGTAGAAACAAAATCTGCTGGCAAAATTTGTTTAGAAAACTTTCCTCAATTTTTTTTTATTGATTGAATGTGAGAATAAAAGAATAATAATATTTGAAACTTTTAATTTATACAGATTCTATCAGAAAAACTTTCTATTTTCTTTTTATAGTATTTCCCAAACCACTTTGGCTATTGAACAGTTTGTTCATTTTTATTAGAGTGTAAAGTAACTGACAAAGGCTTTTATCTATAATTAAATGAATTCTGCAAGTTTCTTCCATTTGCAGAGAAAGATATTGATCTTTGCAAATTTTTGTTGCAGATATCGGGCGAAACATCTGACAGACTAAGCATTTTCACGAAATTCAGGGGTGAATTGAATGAACTACCAAAATGAATGATCTGGGCTAAGTGGGTCAGAAAAAAATTGAATAGAATTTTCTGGAAATTTCAAATGTTTAATTCAATTCCCCAAAACGGCCGTAGAATTTCGATCTTGAGAACTACAATACTCAAAATCTCAAATCAGAATTCATAATGAAGCTAGGAAAATCTCCAACCCCACCCAACCTTTATGAACCCGTTTTGCCACAGGATTCCACCCAAAACCCCACAAAATCACATTTCTGTTCAAGATTCGGTTTCGCTGATTATCTCGATAAAGAATGCTCCGACACACCACCAGCTTCGTTTTGGATCAGGAACTCCCGTATGGACTCTCTGATATGATCAACCCCCACCCCTTGCCCCCAGAATTAAAAAAAAAATGTCAAGAAGTTCAATTCGATTCCCCAAAATGTCCATAGAATTTAGATCCTCTCAAGAACTTCAATAGTGAGAACCTCAAATCAGAATTCATAATGAAACCAGGAAAATTTCCAATCCCACCCACCCTTTATGAACGTTTTGCCCCAGGATTACCTCAAAAACCCCACGAAATCACATTTCTGTCCAAGATTCGGTTTCACTGATTATCTCGAGAACGAATGCTCCAAGAGATATTACCAGCTTCTTTTTGGATCAGGAACTCCCCTATGGACTCCCTGACATGACCCACTCCTACCCTATTGACAACAGCACATACAGTTTAAAAAATGTCATGACATTACACTCAATCGTTTTTATTCCTGCATTATTTCTAAATGTTGTTTTTTTTATCATCATTTTTTGTTCGTTTTTTTAGACTGGACATTAGCGAGTATCCATCTCAGCCACAATTTTTGTGCTTTGTTCTTTGTTTTCAATCTCTCTTCCTCCGTTCCAGATTTCAATGATTTTTTCCTTTTGAATAGCCATCTGGGTATTGATGTCTACGATGTGTCCATCTATCTCTTCCAGCTTCCGTTTGCCTAAAAGAAACAGAAGATAAGAAACGTCAATTACTCTCATGACATATTCTATCGTTAGTGGAGTCCTGAAAACGTTTTCAACAACAAAGTAACATAGAAACAACAATGATTAACCAGGGCCAGGCAAAAATTCGCCCACAATCGCTTTGTGCAGATGGGCCAATTCTAAATGCAAAAAAAATCAACCCATAGATCTCTGACCTCGCTTCACGTATGACAAAATTTAATAAGGCCCGGATGGAGGAATTTTTTTCCCGAGTGGCGATTTTACGCCCCCCCCCCCCCCCCC